TGGTGGTGGTCCTGACACCAAGACAAGAGGTCATATAAGAGTACTTTCCAGTTTGCATTTCCATCCAGACTATGAGTAAAAAACTGTCTCAGATATCTCTTTTGATTCACAATCCTAACATTCATATTGGTACAGAATTATCTTTCATTGATTTGAACAAACTCTCTCAAGAGAAATAACGTGTACCAAGCATATATGAAAACATAAAAGCACCTGATGAGCACTACAATTTCTGTTACGAAGAGCTGGGCATTTATTGAATAAGTAATATAATTTCAATAATTCAAACCACATTCTAGAACATACTAGAACTATTCAAGTCAACTATCGTTCCTATTTATATACTTTTATCATATAATGGAAAAGAAAGATTCCTGTGCACAGCCCCTGGTGGCTCAGACATCTACTTGACTTTTAGCAGCCCACATGAGTCTGTGTCAAACAAACAAAATAGCAACACTCATCATGCAAAATTAACTGAAAGTTCAAGAAGCAAAGTGCAATACAGCATAGCAGATCAGCCTTGCTACGAACCCCACTAGTCTTGAGGAGTTTGGTATTGCCAAAACACATAACTGAGCACTTAATACAAGAGCAGCTGAGCTGTCTTCATAGTCTACATTTGGTTATCCTGAGATATTGTGTGAAGAAGCCATAGTATCAAACACTCATTAATGCCTTTGGTCTTCAGGAGTTGAAATGAGAGGGCAGGCAGAGAGCCACCGCAGGACGATTTGTGAGTGAGCTACACAGCAGGGGGTAGGAGAATGTGAGAGGAAAACAGGAGCTCCTCAAAGGCAGTAAGCTCCATGCCTTGCAGTGAGCTCTGGGTCCTGCACAGGCTCTGGGTCTGCAGGGGATAATCCATACAGCCTGTTAATCAGAGTTTCTCTAGTCTTTTTTCCCCTCCATGTGTATTTTTCTCTTGAAAAGGAATAATCATTGCTTTTCTGTGCCTAAAAAATGCTTTCTAAGAATTGTTCTTTCACAGTGAATCTCAAATTGTCTCAAGAAGTTTGTCTGAGGATGCTTCCTGATAATGGAATAGTGTCAGTTTCTGTGAAAGAAGACTCTCTGAAGGTATTTAAATTTCTAAATATCTTCTTACCCCACAGTACCGCTCCTCATTGAAGATCTGTGGAGGGAGGGGAATTCCATTTTGAGGCTTTTTTTCACCTGGGACATTCTCTCTCATCCATTTCCTATTGTCTTCATCACCTGCTATGTCCATTTGCTGAAAGTCAATCTTGTTGGCCTCTAAAAAGCCCACTACTTCTTGCTGTTTCTTTTTAATCTGGTTAGGAAAGAGGAAAAGCAAAATTCCTTCTTTAAAAATAATTTTTTTTTCTAAAAGCCATTTTATTACAAGTAGAGATGATATAAGTACGTCAAGTTGGATCCACTACTCCAGTAGCCCCCAAACTTTTTGAAGCTTAGATTCAAGACTGTTTCTCAGCACCCAGATGACTTCCATCACTTCTTTTCCTTCCCAGCTTCTGACTTTCCTTGCTAGAAGGAGTGATACCTCCGCCTAAGAAATGATAGCCTCCTACTCTGTTCCCAGACCTGTGAGTGTGGTTTATAGACACCTAAGCTAATTCTACCTAAAGTCAGCACAGGTCTGAGAACGTCCATACTCTCCCCAACATGTAACAGTCTCGAATTTCCTAGTCACTACATATGACATTTAGCCTTCCGTGAGCCACAGCTTAACTCCTGTGCTTGAATATTCCCCACATTACAGAATGATGTTCCAGTTGGACCAAGAAGAACATATTACATACAAATAAAGCATGTTATACACAGCTTCTGTGCCAGCTAAAATTCAGTCATGGCCCTTATTCTCTTTGATGCTAGTACTGTATACACCTAGGATGTAGGCATCAACCTTACAACTTCTCCCTTTACTTTGAAGGAGTAATACTCACCATACTTCTCTACTAAAGGAATGCTGCTCATAACCAGTATTTAAAGAACTTCCCCATTTTTGTATACGTCTAACTTGTTTAAGAGCTACAAGGCCAAACTTTAGCCCTACAAACACTGCACCATTCGAAGCAAGCACTGTTTGGACTGATCTGTAAAAACTTTCTCACACTGCTCTTTGGTCACAAACAAATTACTCTCTAGCACAATCACATTCCAGATGTGACTCTCTTCTCCTCGCAGTTATGCTACTCCATGCAGCAAGTTTGTGTCCTATATAGATAGCAGCTAGAACAATGTAGCAACATAATTTTTACATAAAAGCCATTATATGATTTGAAACCATGACTTCTGCAAATCAGACATCTGAACAACTGAACTTGAAGTGGCACCAAGCTAGTGTAAGTCAGTCTGACACAAGCAATGACACAAGAAATAATTAATGGATTATGCATTTCTATAATCTCATAAACCTGAAAAGCTGAAGTAGAGTGACTGCCTATTATAATGGAAGAATGATTTTTCATGATTAAGGATAAAATTTATTTTTCTCTTTCAAATAAGGAAGTAGCTATCCATATAGTTATGCTTGCTTATAAAAAATAACAAACATAAAATGCTGCACATTTTTATGATAACAACAGCAGTTTATGGCGAGCTAAAAAAACCCACATCACTTTCAATGGAAACACTAATCCAACGTGTTTGAAAGCCATGCAGTTGACAGATCTCAAAGGTGTTTATTTATATCCTTATTTTCACTTTTTAAACAGAGGTCATTTTCTTAGTGGTTGTTTTGCTGCAGTTATTTTCAGAGCACATTCAGGTGGCAGAAAGGATTGCTTGAGGGGCACTTCATTGGAGGAAGTGGCAGGATAACATTCATATAAATGGTTAATAAAATCTGCATGAGCCAGTACTAAGAGTTTCACCACATGCTCTGAAAGCCAGTGTACTCAAGTGCTGTCAGCTGCAATTTCAGCGTCAGCTTGTCTCTTTGGACACAGGCACCAAAGTAGATATGGCTCCTGGAATAGCTAGTGCCGCAGATGGACAGTGCCTCTGAGGAGATAATGGAAACCAAACTACAGATTCTGTGCTCCCTTGCTTATGGCTGTAGCTATAACTTTTAAGATTAAACCTGGATAAACAATTTTTCTTCAGATTGAGATTCATAACACACAGGAGGCTCAGACAGCAACAGGACTGAAAGCAAAATGTTACATCCAGTTATGCCGGCATAAGGAAAAGGCAAGAAGTTTCTCATGATGATAGCAACAATAAAATATGCAGAAGATGTACTATGTCTTAAGGCTTACAATGACTAGGGTTTAGGCAGAGCAAAAGACTTGGGACACACACCAAATATGATACCATAAAGCAAGCCTCTGCTGTGGCTGGCACAAGGTAGCTGGGCAACTAAAAGAAGCCCTCCAGCAAATAGCACTCAGAGAGGGAAATTTTCCAGCACATAACAACACAGGGGACATGCAAAGGTTTTCCCAGAATGGATGAGATTGCAGGAGCTTGTTTGTGCCCTTGATTGCGTGTGATGGCATGGGAGGAATTCAGATTGCTTGGGCATACATTCCCTGGAAAGTGGTGGTGAACAGGATATTATTTAATCTATGCCATTTTTGCTTTCAACAAAACTTAAGTTCCACCATCTCTAGTTGCTAGTCACTTAAAATATGAAAAAAAAAGGTTTAAATTATTATCTAGCCAGAGCATAAGAGCTACAGAAAATAGTAGTTTTGCCTGATGCGTAATTAAGCATTATCATCCATATCCTCGCAATCCAGAGCATTCCCATCGGCCAGCTGCCTATGGCAGAAGCAAATGGTACCTAGTAAACAACCTAAAGCAGCAGCAGCAACATTAATGTTGGCAGGCAGGGGTGCTGCAGCTTTCGGTTCTAACACTGCATGGACAACCTATTCCCGGTGATTATTCTTATTTATCACACTCTAACTTATGATTTGATTTGAAATTGGTTTGAAATGTTAGCTCAGGTTTATGTATGGCCAGATTCACAGTCACGGATGACAAACCCCTACCCTGTATTTTAGAGGACGTAATGCAAATAGTCTACATTTTGCTCAGTCTGTCGGAGAACTGCATATTTTTAAGTGGGCAAATTCACAAAATGTTACCAAAAACGCTGGGAATAAAAGGATTTTAGAGGTGCCCTAACCATGAGCAACAGTAAGCAACATTTTGAAGACTGTGTAAGACACAGATCCTGTTTCTCCCATGGTTCATGGTACCTTAGAACTTTGCCGGATATTACCCATTTCTAAACACCGCTGTGGCTAATAACAAGATTTTTTTTTTTTTTTTACTGCTTGCTTCAAGCCAAACATTTGGTACCTTTTAGCGCTATAAGTAAGTGTCTCCACTTCTGCTTGCCTTAACGAATAGTTCAGTTTCAGCTAAGTTTGGAGCAAAAAGATAGTAAAGCTAAAGTTCTTCAAAATAAATTTCTGGATCATTGAGGGGGAAAATACAGACTCAATCTTTGCTCTAGATCCACAGTGAATTATATTGATCAAGCATCTGTTACAGAGAACCAGAATGTTACTAGGTTCACTGCATTTGCCTTTGAAAAGTATTTATTAACATGATAACCAGTTGCAATTAGTAGTGTGACTGCGCAGTAGATAGAATAGAAACATTCTTCATTCTTCACCCTCTGCTGATTTACACCAGAGGAGGCTGGGCCCATCATATTTTGAAATTCAAAATGAACAACATGCACTTGGTGGAAACCAGCCACATTGAAAAAAGTACCAGTGCTACTAGGACAATTTAGATTTTCAATTTAAGCTCTTTAGGGATTAAATTCATTCTTCTCAGCAAAAGCTGTACAAGGCTGATACAAAAGTCTGCTTTTAATAGGATTTTAGTGACATTGGGGTTTGTGCTGGCTCCTTGCACAAGTGAGTTTTATTTTATATATACCAAAACTCATTAAAGGTTAATTGAAAGGATACTTTCCGTCATTTTAATCAGTAAATGTGGAATACTCCAGCTGAACATTGTGTTTACTTGGCATTGCAATTATGTATCAGTAATCTGAACACATGCTGCCTTCTGAGATTGCTGCAGCGCTAGGTACACCCACCACACGAGAAAGGAGGAAATACAGAGGGACATTGCTGGGTAAAGATGCCATACCCTTCCTTCCAGTCTACATCTGGGACCTCACTAACAGCTTTTGTCAGCTGCTAACATACAGTGGAGACTGGTATTAGTAAACTTAAAACCTATTACAGTTCACTGGCATTAGCTGTCTTTCTTAGCAGTAATAAACCACAGTAGCAATGTTTCACAGCTGAAAATGGCTGGATAAAGCCTGCGTGTTGCTCAGCGCTCAGCGTAGCACACACATCCCATCCCTGCAGACAAGCAGGAAAGGAGTCAGTTATAGCTGCTAGCTGGAAGGAGGGACAAGGAACGTGTGTAGCAGAGGAAAGATCTTGGTTCAGCTAGTGCTAAATATATGATATGCTTAGTTTTAATTGCATAAGTGATCTCTGCATGTCACTATTTAATCAAAGCACTCGCACAACCACCTTGCTGAACTACAACCCCAATCCTATATAGCTGAAGCAGCAACAGTTCGTGCCTGAGGCAGACAAGGTGATGAAGGTCCCAGCACACACTTACTGAATGTCTACACGGGGATTTCAGTCGTGGTCACAACTTTTCCCAGAAAACAGAGGAGTGGCACAGGAGGCAGGGACAACTCTTCTTTGGTCAACCAAAAGAGACCAAAAGAGGAGACCAAGCAGAAGCAAATGACTGCCAATGCACAGCGCACGACAGTGTATAAAGCTATGTGAGCAGTAACTGCTCGATTACAAATTACCAAACCTGCAGTTTCCAACCCCCTCCTCTTCTTTCTTTCTCTTGCTTTTGAGGTTTCTTATAAAAAAGGGAATGCTAAAATGTCAATAGCAAATTTAGAGTGTCGGGCTAAGCGATAGGCTGGTGAGACAAGCTGATGAGAGCACTGCAAACTTCCTCAGCCATGTTCCAATCTGAATTTTACTGAATGTCCCCCAGTTCATTTTCTAGAGATGCTCCTTTGAACTCGGGGTGTTTTTTTGAGCTTTTCAACTCTGGAAGCTTCTTAAAGACATGGAGCTGGTCTCAGAGAGACAGAGATGTAGTTACAGCTATGTGCAAGCACCAGCCAGTTTGTTTAGCCATGTCACTGGGTGTGAGTGACTGCCAAAGGAAAGCTGCAATCTGAGCTCATTTGGGAACTGGATATAAAAGGAAACAGTCCTTTCCTGGTTCCCACCTCCCACGGACTTCCAACCTCCCTACTATTCACATGCCCTTCCCTTTAGCTGATACACTATGCTGACAGCTACAGCAGTATATCTCAATACTAAAAATCATAAGTATAGCATTTCAAGAGACACACATACAAAAAAACCACAAGAAAACAAAACAAAAAAAAACCAAACCAAAAACCTAGGAAAAGGTGGAGGGGGGGAGGGTGTGAAGAATTTTTTTAAACATAACTTTATTCAGCTTACTTCGGCTCTAGGCTCTTTCTTAGACACAGTTCCCCTTCAGCAGCTGCAGTGTCCTAAAGTCTTTTTAAAAACAAATACGTTAATTTCTACTGTAAACAATCTACCTTAGCTTTTGTGCAAATACAATATCCACTTTTTTCTTCTTCTTTGCTTTTTCAAATAGAAGTAAATCTATTAAATGACAGATAATTTATATGTAAATGTTATAACTGTAGTAAAACCTTGCATGCAAGCAAGCCTGCATTAACAGGAATTCTCTACACCTTGAGTAGCTTTCAATAATAAGGTGATCAATGCAGATCAGGAAAAATCCAGTGGGTTTTTTGTCACACACAAACTCAGGCTGTCCTGGGATCTTCTAGGCTAATTTAACAGCCTGACCCCAGCAGAAAGAGGAGTATGTTAAATGAGACACCTACCGCTGTAGACCCCGAAGATGTGGCTACAAAGACTTTGATCACCATGTTGACAGTGATGAAAATGAATCAGCAGAGCACGCCTGCTATCCACAAGTCACCACAGTCCCAAGAGGAATCCAAGTGTTTGGCAGCTTCTGGGCTAACCCGGGTCCTAAATGGATGCCCCAACAGCAATCCAGCAGCTTTAGCCTCTCCCTCTCTCTGGGGTCCCGGGTTTCCCACTCCATTGGCTCTTAGGTATTTTGGGACAAGGGGCCAGTAGAGGATTGGTTAGTAAGAGGAGCCATAGCAAGGGGTTTGCACCTGCCCCTGGCCTTTTTGCATTAGATTGACAGGGTGGCAGTCCAAAAAAGGCAAAGGAGAGTAGTGCACCAATGAGACAGGGCTGGAGAAATATTTCGGAGAGGGGGAAGGGACAAGTGAGAAGGGAGAAGGTACAGGGAGCAGATAACTCAGTGCTGGGGGCAATCACAAAGCTGTCAAGTAATGTTTAGTGTTGCATAGGCACTGTACAGCTACCTCCTGCCCTCTCCCTGACCACAATAAGGACGTTTCCAAGTATAGCTGCAAATTTTACATTATAAAAGGGGAAAGAGGAAGGGTAGGGCAAGGGGAGCACAGATGCAGAAGTAATTATAGCAGACATCATATTGAAAAAAGCCTCAGTTACAAACGCTCTCAGCTTTAAAGAATTCAGATCATCATCCACACTGCAGGGCTCAGGGACTTCTCTGAAATAAATATGTGTCAGTACATTTCCTAATACTGAGGAGGGTGATTTGGTTGATTCTACGCGTCCAGAAGTTATTGTTGTATTTTTCCCTTATTTCTGCATCACCAATGAAAATTGCCAGGGCACAAGGTGTAAGAGGAAGTCCAGAATACTTGGTAAATAATATCCCATTCTAATGTGTTATTTAGGATACTCTTTTTCCATCTGGTTGTTGCCTTCTGCCCCAGAGATGGTCACAATTCAGCGGCTGCCTGCATGTATTTTCTGAAGGAGGTCTCTGAGCATGAGAGGAATTTTAAGAATGTTAAACGGTAACAGATTGCTTTCAAATTTTAAGGGCCAAGCTTGTTTCTGCTTTAAGTGAGCAACACGCCACCGCCACCAAGCTCAGTAAGGCTGACCCTATGTCAGAGGTGAAACTGGCCCAGGTTTTAGAAAGTGCTTACACACATTTCAGATGTTAAGATTTAATACAGCTGTGTCCAATCCTGAAAATACTTAAAATGGAATGTAATACTTTCTTTCCAGGATGATTAGGTAGGACTGAATGCACAATAGTAAAGATGCTCTTGAAAGTAAGTTTTTTGTCTGTGCAAGCCATTATATGAGGCTGGAAATGCAGTATTCCGTGCATGTAACAGGGATCCAGAAAAACCTCACTGAAAAATAAAAAAAAAACCAGTATGGATAGTTTGCACTGTTTGCTGTGTCTCACCATCTATCATTTCTTTCTTCTTTTGAGAGGCAATAGGAAGTTCAGCAAAAAGAAAAGCTTGTTAGGATCGGGTATTTTCAGAGTATTTTCCTGTAGAACAAACGAACAAACAAAAAAGCCACCTCAGTGGGAAAACATAAACTATTGTCAGAAGTTATTACACATGCTTGTTTCTCAGGAGATTTTGTATGTACGTAGAGCCTAGTATATTCAACAAAAATGACTGGCCATTTGGAACATACCATTTCCAAACTGATTTATTTGTTTACTAGTGTCCTGAAGAAGTAGAAACAAAGGACGCAGTGGTCACTGGCTTCAAAGCGTACTGTATAGCGATACTAACAATTACTACTTGAAGCGGTAAATATTTGCACCATCAAATGGTCACGGTCAGGACTGGACAAAAATGCCAATTAACATTCTCTCCTGTTCCACTTCACACCTGAAATCCCTCCTGAAGTACACAGGGAGAAAACAGGAGGCGGCCCAAAGCCCCTGCCCACCCGGGGCCTGGCAGGTGAGGACTTTATGTCCAGCCGTGATGTACTGCTCCAGCTGCTTTCACTCCCATGCGATTTTCCCCCTTTTTCAACGTAAAAATATTTTCTCTAAAGCCAAACTGTAAGTGTGGAGCCTGTTGGGTTTGGTTATGACACCACATAACAAAACACGACAC